TGGAAATTCTGTCCCAACTTGCACCCCTAAGTATAAGTATCAGTATTAATATTAGTATGAGTATCTTTATTAGTATCAGGATGAGTATGAGTATATGCATTAGTAACATGATGAGTATGAGTATTTGTATTAGTAATAGTATGATTATCAGTATTAATATCAATACAAGTATCAATATGAGTATTAATATTAGTGTTAGTATTAGTATATCAATATGAATATAAATATTAATATCAGTATGAGTGTCAATATTAATATCAGTATTCATATCAGTATTAGTATTAGTATTAGTATTAGTATTAGTATTAGTATTAGTATTAGTATTAGTATTAGTATTAGTATTAGTATTAGTATTAGTATTAGTATTAATATTAGTATCAATATCAATATAAGTATTAGATGAGTATGAGTATATCAATATTAGGTTCAATATTAGTATCAATATTAGTATGAGTATGCGTATGAGTATTTGTATTAATATCTATATCAATATCAAAATCATTATGAGTATCAGTACAAGTATAAGCATGAGAATCAATATTAGTATGAGTATCAGTACAAGTATAGGTATGAGAATCAACATTAGTATGAGTATCAGTACAAGTATTGGTATGAGAATCAATATTAATATTAGTATCAGTATTAATATCAATATTAGTATCAATATAAGTAGCAATACAAAAATCAATATTAATATTAATATCTGTATCAGTATCAATATCAATATGAGTATCACTATTAGTATCAGCATTAGTATCAATATATGATTATTTGTATAAGTATGAGTATCAAAATTAGTATCATTTACCAATGAGTATGAGTATGTGTATCAATATGTTTAACAATAATAATATCCGTAGTGTCAATATTGTATCAGTATATGTATGAGTATCAATATTAATATATCAGTATATCAGTATGAGTTTTAGTATTAGTATCAATATAAGTATCACTAGGATTATCAGTATAAGTATCAATATTAGTATCAGTATCAGTAGTAGTATTAGTATCAGTATCAAGTATTAGTATGAGTATAAGTATAAGTATAAGTATAAGTATCAGTATTAGTATTACTATCAATATCAATATTAGTATTAGTATCAGTTTGAGTATATGTATTAGTATCATTATCAACATATGTATATGTATTAGTATCAATATAAGTATTTGTACGAATTAGAGTACCAATATTAGTATCAATTTGAGTATATGTATTAGTATCAGAATCAATATAAGTATTAGTATCAATATCAATATGGGTATCAGTATCAGTATCAATATCAATATTAATATCAATATTATAACTATGTTTCATATTAAGGACTAGGGGTGGGTTTGGTAGGGCAACCGTACCAAACCCCTCGAATCACTACCAATACCGAAATTTCGGTATTATGAAATCCATTACCATTGCCCTACCAAAAATTTCGGTATACCGATTTCGGTATACCAAAAGTTCGGTACGGTAGGGTATGGTAATGGTAACTACTAATTTATATTATCTATTATTTAAGTCTAAATTGAATATCATTTTTTTCAAAGCAATTCAAGTTATACATGTTTAAAATGTACAAAACTAATTTTTAAAATATAAGTGTCCTAAATATATGTTCTAAATTTACCTAATGTAAAATATTTCTTAAATAAAATTATAACATAAAAACTTTTAACATCAATTATATATAATAAATTGAATTATTAAAATAAAAATTTATTTATTAATAATATTTCGGTACGGTAGGGCATTACCATTTTCATAATGTTAAGTGCCGTTGCACTGGCGAAATCACCAATCCTCAATACAAGATCTGGTTTCGACAAGATCAACTCATTCAAAACGCCTTAATGGCATCAGTTGATCCAACCATTGCCTCCACTGTTGCTGGTACAACCTCGTCAAAACGAGCATGGGATTCTCTGCACACATTGTTTGCAAATAAATCGCAAACACGCATCTTTAGTCTTCGCCATCATCTTACCAAAACTTCAAAAGATGCCAAATCAATTGCAGAATATCTCAGAGAAATACGATCTGTTGCAGATGAACTTCCAACTGCCGGTTCGCCGATTTCTAATGAAGGACTTATCGTAAAAATTCTAAGTGGTCTTGGTCCTGAATTTCGAGAAATTTCCGCAGCCATACGAGCTAGAGACACTCCAATTACCTTCAAAGAGCTCTTTGATAAATTGTTGGACCACGAACTCTTCATAACACATGAAGACCTCAAAAAAGACGTTGATTAATATTACTGTTGCTGTTGCTCATAAGAACAATATTCCTGCCTACTTGAGAAATAATCGGCGACCCAATACCAACCAACCATGGCGTCAAACCCCGGCCCGTGACTCTGCTTCCATGGCTCCAAACATGCAGCAACAATGGCGCTCGTTCGACAATTCAACTCAACCTTCTCGAGTAAAGTGCCAACTCTGTGGTAAAATTGGTCATGTCGCTCGTGTTTGCCGATCACCAACCACTTCGAAGCAAAAGCAAATTTCGTGTCCTCTAACAATCCCTAGATCATCAACTCCGGCGCTACTCACCATGTGACAACCGACTCTCACGGCTTTCAACAATCTGAAGCATATCATGGCCCCGATGATATCTCCATGGGTGATGGTAATAAAATTTCCATCACACACACTGGTACAATCAATTTAAGTGCATCAAATCATAAATTTCAGCTCTCTCACACTCTTTGTGCTCCTCAAATTAAACAAAAACTTATCTCTGTATCTAAATTTTGTCGAGATAGTTTAGCCTCTGTTGAATTTTTTCCCTCATCTTTTTTTGTGAAGGACTTGCGTACGAGGGCGCTGCTGCTGAGAGGGCAGAATAGGAACGGACTCTACGAGTGGCCTTGTGGAACACATCTCACCCAACCTCAAATAAATAGTGTTACCAAAGCTCCCTCCAAATTCTTATGGCATAAGAGATTAGGTCAGCCCAACTCTCGAATTCTTCAGACTCTTTTACAAACCTTTTCTTTACCAGTTTCAGGTTCCAAGAATTTTGATTTCTGCAATTCATGTTCTTGTAATAAAAACCACCGGCTTCCTTTTCATCAAAATACACTGATTAGCAAAAAACCATTCGAACTTGTCTTCGGTGATTTATGGGGACCATCTCCGACTATATCGATTGATCGCAAATTATACTATGTCATTTTTGTCGATCAATTTACTAAGTATACTTGGTTGTTTCCATTAAAGAATAAAAGTGAGGTTCACACAGTTTTCTCCCACTTTCACTCTTTGATCAAAAATTATTTTAATACCAAAATCACTTCCTTTTATAGTGACGGGGGTGGTGAATTCGCTGCATTAAAACCATATCTTCGCGAACAAGGAATTGAACATCTGGTTTCTCCCCCCTATACTCCTCAACGGGTGGCTTTAGCCGAGCGTAGACACAGGCATATTATTGAACCAGCCAAAATCCTCATGCATCAAGCCTCCCTACCTCAAAACTTTTGGACCTTTGCCTGCCAATTTGCAGTTTATGTTATTAATAGGCTCCCAACTTCAAATCTCCAGCAACAATCTCCATACCAAAAATTATTTGGCGAAGCACCTAACCATCCCTCCATACGAACGTTTGGATGTCTTTGTTATCCATGGCTCAAACCATATATGAAAAATAAATTAGAACCTAAGTCTAAACCATGTGTGTATCTTGGCTTCTCGCAGGTCCACCACAGCCATCAGTGTTTTGATCCCAATTCTTCAAAGATTTTTGTCTCACGTGATGTGTTATTCGTTGAAAATCAATTCCCTTTTGAAAACATATTTTCACAACTGAGAAACAAAAATTATTTACAGTTAGAATGGGATAAGCCTGTAGTCCAGCACCCGAAGCGCATCTCTCAACATAGTGACAACAACCTATATATGTATTCGGACACCGATTGGGCAGGAGATCCTACTGACCAAACTCTACTACAGGCTATCTGTTATACTTTGGTGTCAATCCGATAAGTTGGTCGTCAAAGAAACAGAAAACAATAGCGAGATCATCCACAGCGGCAGAGTACAGGGCGGTTGCGAGTGCATTATCCGAAACAAATTGGGTTATGAATTTATTACAAGAACTTCGAATTCCTCTGCAAAAACTACCAACTACTTTCTGTGATAATATTGGTGTGACATATCTTTCCCAAAACCCTGTTTTCCACAGCTGCATAAAACATATAGCGATTGATTTTCACTTTGTCAGAAAACAAATGCAGCAAAAACAAGTAGTGGTTACACATGTACAATGATCACATCAAGTGGTCGATACTTTAACAAAAGCTCTTCCAAACAAAAACTTTCATCAACATTTGAACAAGTTAGGTGTGGTTAATACCACCTAACTTGAGGGGGGCGTATTAGCGTAACAACCACCTCCGCTAGTCTTGGGAAGTCATTTCCTGAGTTCTCTTTTATTCAGTTAATTTTGTTCATATTCTCACGTTCCTTAGTGGTTTTACGTTGAATATTTTCTCTATTCTCTAGGAATATCTATTGTAATCTTATCTTTATCACTTGTATATAAGGATAGGTGTTGTACATCAATAAAATATCTTTTATGAGAATCTGTAACATCTTTAGTCAGACACTTTATGGATTATTTTGTAATTTTTGAAAATGTTTGAATAACAAAATTTTAAATACTTTTATTGAGTCCCCTAATTACATAAATTAAAATTGATAGTTAATAATAATATTTATTTTAAATTTTCAAAACACACTACCTCAAATCAAAATAACATAAAACACTTTCTGCTAGTATATATTCAATGAAAAGGGCAATTATTTTGAGGATTCATTGATACATAATGGGGAAAGCCTTGAGGGGCAGTACATTATGAAGATACGAATATCCAACCATAAATATAAATATTTGAGGGATTTTTTGGTTTATTGATTTATGGTAATTTACCCAACAAAAAAAAAAAAAAAAACCAATAAAAACAATTGTGTATATCAAATGAAAAGGGCATTTATTTTTTTACGATTTATGGATACTTGAAAGGAAAAGCCTTAAGCGGCACTGCCTTATGGAGTGAAAGCCCGAACATCTCATTCAACTCGAGTTCCTGAGGTTTCGTCACTGGTTCAAGTTTCCATTCGAAGTTGTGAATCAAAGATGCCATCATTAGATGCACCATAATGTGAGCCAATGGCATCCCGGGGCATATTCTCCTTCCCAAACCGAAGGGAATGAACTCAAAATCATGACCCTTGTAGTCGATTTTGTTGTCTAAAAATCGTTCTGGCTCAAACATATCTGCATTTGACCATATACTTGGGTCCCTTCCCATTGCACACATATTCACAAGTATTTGAGCATCTTTAGGGACAACATAACCATTCATTTCTACGTTAGCATTTGCCTTGTGAGGGATTAAAAACGGGCCAACCGGGTGAAATCTAAATGTCTCTTTAATCACTGCACGTAAATAAGGGAGTTTTGAGATATCGGATTCCTCCACTTGTTTATTTTCTCCAATCACATTTCTTAGCTCATCCTTTGCTTTCGACATTATTCCCGGGTTTCTTAATAGTTCTGTCATTGCCCATTCGACGGTAACTGCGGTCGTATCTGCTCCACCAAGAATTAAGACCTGAAATAAAGTTGAATTAGTTTACATTTGGTATGAGATGTTTTTCCCTTTTATCACTACAAAAAAATATCTTTTTGTGTGACACCACCTAGTTTGATATTCTTATGAAGAAAATACTATTACTATGTTGCCACTATTGGTGTGTCACTAGTTCTACATATTGATATTTTTAGTGGCAACAACAAGAAACTATATAGTAACTCAAAAAATGAACCCAAACATTGCCTATGAGTGACAAAATAGTGAAATACAAGATGTTAGTTACTTAATGTAAATATTTAATGGCAATTTCTTATATACATTGTTACCATTAGGGTGTCACTAATGGGGGGCCATTTTTTTTTTTTACAATATTCCAGATTTTTTTTTGAGAATTGGGGTCATTTTGTAATTATTTACAAAAATACAATAAAGCGTCGTTTAAAACGACGCGTTTTGCGGACCGTTGGATCGAGTTGTGATCAACGGCCAGATCTCCCTATTTTGTCCTCGTTATCTGACGGCCAGGATTGAAGACAAGATCTGACGGTCCTTAAAACGCGTCGTTTTGAATGACGCGCTTTGACCTGTCAGGGTTGAACGCGTCATTTAAAACCACGCGTTTTAAGGACCGTCCGATCCTTCTCGATCCGACGGCCCTGATTTCGGCGAATTATATATATATATATATATATATATATATATACACCTTCACCTCATTTGCTCCCCTTTCCCCCTCTGCTCCCTTCTTCCCAACAAACCGTAAGTGTTTTTTTCTCTCTTCTTTTTTTTTGTTAATTATTATTTATTTGTAGTTTCTAATTTATATTTTAATTAATGTAGGTAATTTTAATTAATTTCAGCAGGTTACTTATTGAGGTAATTTTTTCACTTTTTCAATTATTATAGTTAAATAGGATTTTAATTATTAATATAATTTTGTTAAATTTTTATTAATGGTGGATTAATGGTATTTTTATCTAGTAACTTATTAATTATTTGGAGATAAATTATTTCTTGTATTGGAGATAATTATTTCTTATATTTCTTGTATTGTTAAAATATATATAATTTTTTATTGTTGTTTTTACTTGTTACTTTTAGGTTAAATTTGAACTTGCGGTGGATTTAAGAAGGAATGTTTGATTAGTAGAATAATTAGTAGGATAAATTAATTAATTAATAGTGAGTTAGTGGATAAATTGTGTTTAAATAATTCTCGAAGGGGAACTTGAACTTGTCACGAATTGTGTTTAAATAATTTCTGAGATAAATTAATTAGTAGAATAATTATTAGGATAAATTAATTCATTAATAGTAAGTTAGTGGATAAATTGGTAGAATTAGTTATGGCATTAGCCCCTCAAGTTTACATTAGTTTCACTTTTGATCCCATGTTTTAATAATTTAACATCTTTTCATGTTTTTTTTTCTTGTTTTTAAATAATGGCTGAAATTTAAATTTTGTTGTGTTCTGATTGTTATAATTAGGTGAAATGTAATCTGTGGTTGATTGAGAATGGATTTACGTTGGTAGCAAATAATAACTATTTGGAGGTATTTATTTGTTATATTGTACAAATTTTATTTTTTTTATTGTTGAAAATTTAATTTTTTTTGTTTTATTGTTATAACTAGGTGGAAGTGTAATTTGTGGTGGTTTGAGAAGGGATTTTTGTAGCTAGCAAATAATAATAATTTGAAGGTAATTATTTGTTATATTGTACAAATATAGTACAACTTGGGGTTGGAGCTTTTTTTTTGTTTCCCGTTTTTTAAATAATTGCTGAAATTTTTATGTTGATGGTTTTTTAACTAGGTGGAAGTCTAACTTGTGGTGGATTGAGAAGTGATTGTGGGTGCTAGCAAATCTTCAATTATCTTTGAGGTAAATTAAATATTTTATTGGTTAATTAAAGTCTTACTTGAATTACACAATTAAAGTGTTATATGAATGTGTCGAAAAATTACGAATTACACAATTTTTTAAGGATTTATAATATACAAATTAATAGTTTTCGAACTCTCAAATTATAAAACGAATTAGAAAATATTAAATATTAATTGTTTGTTTTAACTGATTTATAATCTAACATTTAGTGTCTGTAGCTATAAAAAAATTAGAAAATATTAAATATTTCAAAAAAAAATAATAATCTCAAAATATCAAAATATAGGGTTTCAATGGCGACTCCGAGTAGGAATACTGTCAAAGTTTTCGTGTATATAGGAGGCCATATTGTTCATGAGGGATTGTCAGTGAATTATGATCAACCTCATCATACAGTCGTACGAGTGAAACACGATATATCTTTCTCAGACTTCTTGGCGAAAATATACTCACGTTGCCGAATAGATAGAAATGAATTTGTGTTATCGGTGTCGGGCAAAATATCACGATGGTATCAAAATCAGTGGAGCGAGATAGTTTCTGAGATAACAAGTGATGATGATTTAGAAATCTATTTGCACCCGGATGAAGGAAACGATTGCATAGATGTTTATGTTGAGTCTCAGCCTTTATACAATCCTTTGATGCCTTCACAATTCACTACATCAGAGCCTCTCTACTCCCCTTCGAGACCTTCACAATTCAGTACATCAGAACCTCTCTATTCCCCTTCGAGACCTTCACAATTCACTACATCAGAACCTCTCTACTCCCCTTCGAGACCTTCACAACATTTTGATTTGAATGATGCGTACAATTCATTTATGCAAACAAGTCCTGAGTTAGTTGCGGTTACACAAGGGTTTTCCAATATGGGCTTTGAAGCGGGGCCATCGAGGCATTCTTATCAAAATCTTGGGGTACATATTGGGGAATCAAGTGGAATGAGAAATGCTCATGAAAATTTTGATCTTCCTAATGAAACTCGTCATTGTAATAATAATGATGACGATGATCCTTTCGGAGACGCACATGGGCCAAATGTTCGAAGCGACTCTGAACCCTCCGACCATGGAGACGATGATGATAGTGGTGAAGAGAACAATGATGAGAATATCGAAGCCGTTGATGACGTTGTACAAACAATATCGCAGGTAGAAATTCCATCAACTTCCCAAGTTCATGTCAGCAATCCATCATTTGCAGAACCTCCTACTCAGTTTTATGATCCACCTTCGTTCTACTCTCTGTCATTTCCTGAAATCCCAGCCGATTCCATTGATGTTCCGTCGGGTATGTGGTCAAAATTTTATGATAGCAGCAAAGGTACTCTCGAAAAGGGGATGATTTTTGATAGTAAAGCAAGGGTCATTTCAGCCGTTAGAGACCACTCCATTCGATTTGCCAGAAGAGAGTTTAAAGTTATCGAAAGTACAAAAAGAACTTGGAAGGTTATCTGCAAACACGACACTGAAGCAAGACCTTGCAGATGGAGGCTAAGAGCATCAAGAATTGGGGATAGAGGACAATTTAGGATTGGGATCTACGATGGCGATCATAGTTGCGGTATGCAAGGGATGACAAACAATCATGGCAACTTGAACATCAATTATTGCGCCGCAATTCTATTGAAAAGTGTTCGTGAAAATCCAGTTTGTGAGATTTCAAAGGCAAGAGAGATTGTGACCGCGCAAATAGGATATGAGATATCCTACATGAAGGCATGGTACACTTTAAAGCGATGCAGAGAAAATGTATATGGAACATGGGAGAGTTCGGTCCAAAAGTTGCCAAAATTTATGAAAGCACTGCAACAAAGGAATCCAGGCACAGCTGTTGAGTGGGAACATCACGCGACAAATCATCCATCGAAATTCATAATCAAATACGTCTTCTGGGCCTTCAAGCCGTGTATTGATGGTTTCAAATACTGTCGTCGGGTGATCAGCGTCGATGGAACTCATTTGTACACTAAGTACAAACATAAGATGTTGCTTGCTGTGTGTTTGGATGCGAATCAACAAGTTTTACCACTTGCGTATGCAATTATTGATGAAGAGACCGCAAGTGCATGGAAGTGGTTTTTCAAATGCATTGACAAACATTTACTTTCGGGCATATCAGATGGTATTTGTATAATTTCGGATCGAGGAACCGGTATTTTAAGTGCCATCGATTCCATGCCTGAGTTTAGACCCCCTCGCATCACCCATCGATTTTGTTTGAGGCATGTTTGTTCAAATGTCAACGCCATGTTTAAGAGCATTGTGGTGAAAGATTTTTGTTACGCTGCTGGAAAACAATCTCAGGTTTGGAAGCTGAACCGGTATTTGGACAAGATTGGGGAGGAAAATCCCAATGCACACAGATACTTGATGAACATGGATCGAGAAAAGTGGACTTTAGCACATGATGGAGGGTCTCGACGCGGTCAGTTGACGACCAACTTGTCCGAGTTCATCAATGGTGCTTTGAAAGGTGCTCGTAAACTGCCTGTCACAGCTATTGTGGATTTTACATTTCATCGAGTGGTTAAGCACTTTATTAATCGAGTAGCGAAAGGTAATAATTGGGAGCAATCGGGACAACGATGGGCCGAATTTCCATTGAAGAAGTTCAAATTATGGGAGGAACATTCGACGACCCATTACATGAGAAGGTTCAACACTCGCAACTACGCTGGTGAGGTATTCACCAGGGCAAAACCTCAAGGAGGTGGAGGAAAAACACATTGTGTCGATCTTAGGGCCAAAGAATGCTCATGTAATAAGTGGACCTTGTTTGGGATTCCTTGCTCTCATGTGCAACATGTATGTCGTGATTTCCGTTTGGATGCCGAAACTTTGGTTGCCGAGTACTACAGTGTTAGAAACCATAAGAACACATATAGTGGCGTGTTTCACCCTTTGCTGCCTGAAATGTGCTGGGAGGATGCAGATTTTGAGCTATTTCACGATGTTACCCTACGGAAAGCTACACGACGGGGTAGGCCAGAAAGTACTCGTATTCGTAACGAAATGGACCGACCACAAGCGCGTGCTAGAAGAAAATCTCGGGCAACACAAGAATCACACTAGTTATTTTATGTGTTATCTTATGTTATGTTAGGTTATGTTATGTTATGTTATGTTATGTTATGTTATGTTGTGTTTGTTATGTTATGTTATGTTATGTTATGTTATGTAATGTTTGTTATGTAATGTTTGACTTGAAAAT